GTGTCAAATTATGTCCACGGCGCCCTCTGAAAACTGAAACACGCGCATGCCAGCGCGGCCCCCAAATGCCGCAGCACATGTGCCCTGTCCGCATGCCCATCCCATGCCCAGCAGCACCCCGTCTCCTTGCTCTCTCGCGCTCCGCCCGGACTTCCTTCTCCGCTGAGCCCGAAGGGGCCCCGGGGCTCCTGGAAAACGGGGGGGGGGTCCCCAGGCAAACCTGGCCTTCCCGCTCCACACAGACGGGGAGCGAGGAGGGACTCTGCCCCGAGGGAGGAGAAGGCGGGGAGCTGCGCATCTGTCCCACTCCCGCTCCCCCTTTCGCCGCTGCCGGGCCGGAGCCCCCTCGCCCCCTCGCCCGGAGGCTGCCTGGCGCGGCCACTTACGTGCCCAGGGTCTCCTTGAACTCGAAGATCTTGCTGATGTCGTCGGCTTGCTTCTTCCACGAGGAGCCGTCCTCGCCGTTCTCGCGGGCCATGGCTGGGGCAGCGCGCGGCCAGGAGCAGCAGCAGCCCGGGCGGCTTTTGCTTTCTCTTCGGCGGCTCCTCCGCTCCGCTCCGCTCGCCGCCGCCGCTGCTGCCTTGCGCGCCCACTTCCTGCTGCTGCTGCCGCCGCCGCCGCCGCTTCTCCTCCTCCGCGCCGCCTTTCCGCTCTCCCTCCCGGCCCCTTTTCGGCAGCCTCCCCGCCCGAGCCGCGGCAGGCCAGCTCCCGCCTCCCCGGTCCGCCTCGACGCCTATTCCCCCCCCCCCTCGCTTGGCGGCTCTTTCGCAGCCCAGAAGGAACTTTGCAGCCCGAGGGACGCAGCGCAGCGCGGACTCGGCTCGCCTCAGGCGCGGCGCTTGGTTGTTATGGCAATGGCCGGGCGGGGAAGCGAGCCAGCCAGCCAAGCCGCCGCCCCCCCCCGCGCCTCCTCCAGGCTTCCCGCCGCCGCCGCCGCCTTCGGAAGGACTCGAGACAAATTCGCATTGCAGCAAAAGGATCCTATATATATATGTATAGACACGGCGGCCCGCCGGAGACCCGCGCGCCCCTTTCTCGGCTCCCCTTTCTCCCCGCGCAGCCCTGCCTGGCCAGCCCCAGGCGGAGCCGCGAGGCGCCCGGTGCCGGAAAGGGGCCTCCAGACCCGGGCGCCGCCGCCGCCGCCGCCGCTCAGCGACCCCCGGCTCCGGCCTCCCTCCGCGGGGCAGATTCGGAGCCGAGCCGGGGCTTCGCGAGGAGCGTCAGCCGTGCAAAGAGGGACGCCGCCTTCTCGCTTTCAGCTGCAGCCTTTCTCTCCGTCCGGAGCGAGCAAGGAGGGGTTCCATTGCCATTGCAGAATCGAGGCACTTAGAAAACTCGAAAGAGCTCACCATTTCCTGAAATGCAGTATGGACCCGGTGCAGATGAAGGCGGGTGGTCTGCAACTGAGTTCCGCTCCGAGGGGACCCGCTGAAGGAAGAAGCCTGCTCGTCGCAGAATGGTAGAGCTGGAGGGACCTCGAGGGTCATCTAGCCCAACCCCGCGCAATGCAGGAATTCTGCCCACAGCCGTCCCTGGCTGGGCTCCAACCACCAGCCTGCTGAACAGCCAGACACAGCGACCCGTTGTGCCGCATGAACTTCAAGGAGTCTGCTCTGAATAGAACTCGTGTTGAGCCTTCTCCCTGCACTTGTCTTTTTTCTTCAGCACAATTCTCACCCTGACTTCCAAGTATCATTATCCCCATCCTGGCTAATAATTTATTATTCGGATTAATAATTTCTATAGGCTATTAATGTTGTTGTTTTCATTTAGGATGCTATAATACCCTAAGAACAAATTATTCATTTTGTCGAGCTCCTATATGGCTGTGTTCACATTCCTGGTTAATGTACACTGTAATGTTAATGTACAGTGCTGAGTTTTTGTGTTCACATGACCGTTATCCAAAATATATACACACCTTGTTATAAGATATTACTGTTGGATGAGTTACTTCTCACACCAGCTTCACATCAATCTGTATCCTTAAGCTGTTTGTCTCGAACAAAGGTGTGAAAAAACATCATTGTGGTCAACACCTCCCTGGTGTGTACAGCAACATACACAAACGGGGTGGAAACGTGTAGGACCCATGAAAAGAACGGGGGGGGTGATGGGAATGTGTCCTCTGCCTTTCTGGCAGGTAAGTCATTTGGGGAGCTGAGATGCCTGCAAGAAAGCCGTCCTTTTTCATGAGTAGTAAGCCCTATAGAGTTCAGCAGGACTTTCTCCCAGGTAAATCTAGGATTGAAGCCTAAATCCCAGCAGAGACCTCACACGTTTGGCTGCCGGCTGCCACACATGACCCCCAAGTCTAACGTGGCTCCCTCCCTGGCCCTCCAGGGGCTGCTCCTCGGCCTCTTTCACCAGCATCCCAAGCCCCTCCCTGGCCAACATTTGGGAACCTGCTACTTTGCTAAAAATGGAGGAGTTTCAAGCAAGGTTGGTTAACCAGGGCTTAGCTCTCAATCAGAAATATGTGGCGTCTCTTTGAGCTGGGAGGAAGAATCTTCCCCTCCGTCTGTACATCTGGGATTCGGAATAAAGCAGCATTTACCTTGGCTCAGTCATGGGACGCGCACGTTTCACCCCAGAGTCTGATCTGTCATACTGGGTTTTCAATGGTAATTCTTTTTTATACTCAAATGTCACACTGACAGCGCCCGTTTACTTTATCTCCCAGGAATCACAGCAAACTCCACATTTTAAAATTAAGAACGGCTTCCAGGGTTTAGAGCAAATTTACCAATAAGGTTTGCAGGCGGGCAATTAGTTAATTTAAGCCCATCTAAGGCTGTGGTCCCGGGGCCTTTTTGCAGAGGTGCGACGGGGCGCCCCCGCCGGAGGGAGCCGAGAGCGGGAGCGAGGCAGACTCCCCGCCGCCGGGGCGCGCGAGTGTCCACGATGCCCGTGGCAATGCAGAGACCAGGAGCAAGTATCCTGCAACAAGCAACTGCCTGTTTTGCTCTTTTGTTTTCATTTATTTACCAGTTGAGATTTCGTGCTCCTTAATTGTATGGGTGTCCTTTAAAAAGAAATGTGGCAAAAGCACCAAGGCTAATCCCTGCCCTGGCAGCAAAGTCCTGTCATTTTGTGGCACCACTGCTTTTAAAGGGATGTGTTTAATTATTTGAAAACTCTTGACTGTGACTCTGGAGAGCTATTGCCAGTCAGAATAGACAATACTAGAGGAACAAATAGTCTGACCAGGTATAAAGGAGCCTCCTAGGTCACTGAGCAAGATGTCCTCAAATGATGAACGTACATGTGTGAATCAGCCCTAAGCCTAGCAAGGCTGCGCTGACCACATCAAGGCTGGGGAGAATTGTGAAATAATGTTCCATTTCTTTCTCAGGGTCCATGCCATGAAAATCCAGATAGACTGAAATATTTTGGCTGCTGTGCCATCTATTGTTTTATATTGTCATGGGGAGGTTGGGGGGGGGGTTACTGTTATTATCTCCTTAGGGGCGGGGAGTAGGAAATAAATATTTTTAAATAAGGCCCTTTGAGTTTAAGGCCCCCAACTCAATCCTGGCATCTCCAGTTGAAGACTCTCAGGAAGCTGGATTTGATAAGGTGTCTGAATCCTTGCTATGGGGCTTGCATTCAACGCTTAATTTAAACAAAACCACTTCAAAATGAACAATCGGGAGCACCAGGCTATGACCACACTCCCATTAGCTCCTTTATGATGGGGATTGCATTCAGCACTATTTGAATGCGAGCTCTGCAGCTTTCCAGCAGTCATCAGGTGATTAATGGGTGGGTGTACACGACAGTCTATAAGGAGTGGTCCATAAGTGGTGGGCACTTTTTGATCCAGCATGCCAGACCAGAGTTGTTCCCCACCCTGAAGTATAGGCTCTCTTCGTTTGCTGCCTCGGTATAAGGTTGCTCCATGGATTCCTTCAGCATCAGCCAGCATCCCCAGTGACTTTGTAGTGACATGTCCAAGGCTGCTGTGTCATGCAGAATTTGGCAGAATGACACATCCTTTTAAAAGCATGCTATCCACCAAGGAGCCAGTTACATCAGCACAACCTTTTGTGCTTCATAACACAATTGCAAATGACAGACAGCTTAGCAGGCAGACTTGTCCTCACTTGCCAAATGCACGATGCTGCTTGCTTTGCTAATATTGGGTCAAGCTGGTGGTTGTAACAGCTACATCTCTCCACAGAATAGTGTGGCATTCCCATTGAACTTAACTGGTTGTGACAGATTAGAGTATATGGCAATGGCCTCTGTCTGTCTTGGGAGACAGTGGAGGAGTGTGCCTTTGGGGGTGAAGTCAAACTGTCAGAAGGTGACCGCGCCTTCTGTGGCTGTAGAGACCTCTTTTGTTGCAGCTGGGGCAGGTGAAGGCGTCCCGTTGTGCTGCTGCAGATGCACCAGGGCGTTTCTTCTCTCTGGGCTCCTCCCTGTGGTCATCCTCCTCTGGTCACTGCTATGGATGCACAACCTGACTGTCAGTCTCCGGGTATTGTGGTTGTCTGCATGCCACGTTTGTAGGTCTCTTTGCAATGCAGAGCTGGTCTGCCGATGGGCCTGGTGCCTGAAGCCAGCTCCCTGTAGATCATGTCCTTGGGGATCCTGCCATCTTCCATTCTGCAGACATGACCAAGCCAGCATAGGCACTGCTGAGGCGGGAGCTGCAGCCTGCTGGTAATAATACTTGCTCTTGTAAAAGTGTTCATCGTACATGTAGATAATCAGGAGGGGTCCCTGTATGTAATAAGAATCTGTCATTGAGCACAAATTCTGCTTCACTAGAACAATGTCACAATGGGTCACTTCAGCAGCCAAGGTCAAACCAACCACACAGGCCTCAGCCATTATCACCAGATGTGATTTAGAGCCCGTTGATACAGGAATGGAGAGGATTGTGAGGAATGAGGACCAGAGACAATCTGCACCATTCTAAGGGTCTTCTGGGTATCCTGAAACAAGTCTGTGTCTAAATCCACTGCATCCACTGTGCTGAGTTGTACTTGCTTCCTGCTTCTTATAGAATGCTATGGGAGATGGAACTGCCTGGATGGTGCATCAGGGCTGGTGGGGTGGAGATGGAGCAGGCGAAGACAAGGCAGGAGGTCCAGTCAGTACAGGAAGAAGGAGGAGGGCAGTTGGCCAATGATATGGAGAGTTGCAGGCAGGCAGGCAAGCAGACTGGGGAGCCAGTGGGTTTAGGCTCTGCAAAAGAAATTCAGACTTTACCTGAGCATCAAGTTACTCAAACTATGGAACCAGGCCAGAACAATAGCAGTGGTAGACTTTGGGCTCTCAAAATTCAGCAGCGCCATGTGTGACACTAATTTTGGCGCCCCTGCAGTGTGGTCCCCATCAGAGCATTGCCTTGTTACCTAACTCCTGCCAAGCCAGTACCTACCTCCTGTATCTGCACAGGTGATGCTGAAGTACAGCAGAGAGCAGGCCAGCAGCGCCTTCTGGTGACACCCCACCCCAGTGAGTAAGGCACCTTCACCCAGTTTAGCTCAAGCCCCTGAACAGCTCGCAACGCCCACCACCGGGGGCCAGGTCTCTTCCAGCCAGGGGCCACATTCCCTCCTGTCCGTCTTCCAGGGGACCACATGCCAGAGGCAAAAGTGGGCTAGGCTATAAATGTACGTTTTACTGTTACAAGTTTGGGGAGAGGGAACCCCCCAACCCAAGAAATTAATCAATGTCAGAATCCAGCTAATATTTGCTATATTGGGGGGGGGGACAGGCTGCAGCTGTTCTCCTGGGTGTAGCCTGTACAAACTGGTACAGCAGGGCTAATTCAGTGTAAGTCATTATGACACAAGAGACACCCTCACCTTAAGAGGAACCCCCCAGGTCTGTGTAAAACAGAGGTTACCCAAGGGGACAGGAAGAAGGTTTGGGGTTTTGGCAAAGGGTTTTCTGGGGAAAAGGAAGGAAGTAGGTAGAAATCCATGCAGGGGGGGGGGTTGAAGGGGTGGAACCATCTTGGGAGGCTGGCAGGGCATACGCTCCAAGATTTCTCTGATGAAAATAGGGACGTCCTAAGAAAAAGCGGGACATTCCAGGATCAAATCAGGACAGCTTCTGTAAATCTGGGACTGTCCCTGGAAAATAGGGACACTTGGAGGGTCTGTGAGGGGCGCATGGGAATGGCATGCAGGATTTATTGGCCTGTCGTGCGCTGCTGTGAGGAACAAGCCCCACTTGAGATGTAACCCTGTGAACTTCTTTTGCCAGCACACCATGCAAAGAAAGCAAGAACCATTCTTGCTCTGCAACAATAAACTAACCTAGGGGATTAAGAGGATTAAGAGGAAAAAGAACAATGTTTGTTAGAGGAGGAGAAACAGCCAGTTGTCTCTCAAAACAGAGCTTGGGTTAGCAACAGAGTAAATAGTGAAGACAGTTCTTCAGTTTGATCTGAGTCACAGGGAATATTCTGCAGCAAAAAAACAAAAAACTTACAAAGAACAAGCTTAAAGTTCGCATCCATGTTAAAAAAGAAAAGAAAAAGTGCTATGTGAGCTAGAGGTCTGCAGGATCCGAATTCATTTTTTGTAAGATGTGAGTTACTCCCTAGAACTTCCGTTTCAGTTTGTATTACTAGTGTGCCAGTAACTACAGCTTTTGTGGGAGCAGGCTGTGCAGGGGTGTTTTTATCTGTCTCTTAGACCAGAGAGCTCCTTTAATATAGTAAAAAGATAATTGGCCCACTTGTGTTGTTGTGTAACACTGCCCTCTACAGTATGAAAGTGCATCTTTTTAAATGCAAAAGTACCCTGTAAATAAAGGTAGCTGTGTTGGCCCAGAACACCAATGAAGCTTCTCAACAGGCTAGATTATAAATCCCTCCACTGTTGTGTTTTCTTTTAAACCACCTAGCCTTTGACCGCTGAGCACTTAATAAAGGTTCTCCTGTGGCCATAGGTGCCATCAGGGGGGAGGGGGCCAAGGGCCCACAAAATTTTCAAGCAGCAGGACGCCCCCCCCCAAAAAACCCTGCAGCGGCCATGCATGCAAGCTGCATGACATGCTCACCTTACTCATGCAGCCTGTGCTGCATGCACGCAACCCGTTAGCACGTCGCATGATATGCAAGACTGACATCGTCAGCACATCACGCAGTGTGCTGATGTCATTTGTGGATGTCACGCAGTGCCGGTCCCCTCAGTCACGGGAGCAAGGCAGTGGCGCAAGCAGAATAGAAGAGTAGTCATGACTCAGAGCCCAGCAAGCATCAAGGAGCCAGGCCAGGCACAGGGCTCTGAGTCTGCTGCTGGAAACCAGGAGACCATGGAGGAACAGGAGCTCCCAGAAGAACCTCCCATATCTGTAGTGCCAGAGCCAGGACCCTTGTGGACACCTTCAGCCCAGCCCTCGCCAGCACCGCTGCCAGACCGACCCCACCCCCACCGGAGCCAAGTGGGACCAGGCTGAGCCGCCTGCCCACCCGCACAGGGTTCGAGACTCCCATTGTTCTAGGAGCATTTTGCAACAGGGAGTTTCATTAGCATGAGCAGTTTCTGAGCTCTGGGAGCACTACGGTGCCTAAGCATAGCTGTCAACTTTCCCCCTTTTTTAAGGGAAATTCCCTTATTCCAAATAGGATTCCTCGCAAGAAAAGGGAAAAGCTGACAGCTATGCGCCTAAGATTTCAGATTGAAACTGTAGAGTGGGAGGAAAGGAGGGCCTTTTTCTGCCTTCCCAGCCGCTCTCTGGAGAAGAGACTCTCTTAAGGGTGGGCAGGGATGCCAGACCGGAGGAGCATCATAATCACGGTATCTCAAGGGTTGCCATTGCCAACTCCTTTCAGCAGTCCATGCAGCAAGTCTGCATTCTGGCAAATTACCAGTACTGAGCACAGAAAAGCCAGTAAACGTCAGAGCCAATCTGACAATGACAAATACATTGATTTGTTCATCAATAAATCCATGAACAAGTGTCATTTCAAATGTCTTTGCACAAACCAACCCACAGTAAACAACAAAGAAAACAATACCATACCAAAATTATAACTAAAATATTATATTAATACAACTTGGCTTTCTGCAAACATCCCAGCCTCTTGGCCTACCAGATTCTACTAGGCTCTGCCCACGACCCACACAATTCTCTCAGGTTTCACTTCTGCCTGACTCCACCTTGATTCATAGATTATGATAGACCGCACCCTGACCTGCTATATTTTGATCATGACAAGGGACCAGTGTTGTTTTTCAAAGCAGAAATTTACAGCCCTGGGTTTTCCATCCTGAAACCTGCACCTCTGCTTTGACAGAGCTCATTTTTTGCAGCCACACACAACCCATAACTCAAACATTCACGTAGAAGCATATGCAGGAGGCCGGACCCTTTCCAAAGGATCCAACTGGCCTGCTGAGCCTATAAGCTTCTTGTATGAGAATCCACACCCAGCAGACAGAAAGGCAGTGGAATGAGATGAGCCGCAGGAAACTCACTGAGATGTTTTCGAAGGAAGCCAATAGACTCCGAAGGTGCCATTAGCAGCTGGTCTGATAAATGAGAAACAGCAGCTGTATGAGAAATGGCTTGATACACATCTGTGTTTCTGGCAAGCTAAGGCCTATGGCGAGACGTTTCTGTATGGGTGAGTGCTGTCAGCCAGCATGGGAACCAGGCTTATGACAAAGGGAGGAAGAGTTCAATTGTGGTGATCACAATATCTTTATTATTTTCATGATTCCTACAAAGATGGTGCCCCAGTGTCATCAGATGGCTTTTTTGGGGAGGGGATAGGAGATATCCTTGAAGGTGTGGTTTTGGGTTTGTCATGACAACCTCCACCATTTAAAAAATTGCCACTGGTCAATACTGGTATGACTGTTGTAAGTACCTCTGGAAAGTGTCCAGATTCGAGTGTTTGTCAGCTGACAGCTTTGTATTTTCACCTAGTGATTCAATGACATAGTATTGCCATTGCACCAATAGAGATTTTGTGCTAACACAGCCCTGTATGTGAAATAATTACTAATATAAGAACCCTTTGAAGTTATTGATACTTTAGCAAAAAGTGCCTGGAACGCTCCTGCCTGCCGTGGATCAGTGACACAATGGATTCTAACTGTCATTACAGTCAGTATGAACTCACAGGTGCTTTAATCCTCTTTGACTGGAAAATCCAGCTGAGCTGTTGTACAAAACCAAGTTTCTCAGGAAAGCGATTATTTTAAAAAAATGTCCTGCCTATGACCATCGGCACCAGGCTGCTGGTATACAACTAAATTTTATTTAGAATTATACTGGGTGGGGGAAAAAGAATTATACTGGGTGGAAATAGCATGTATTAGTTATCTGCATTAAAAATTACAGGGAAAGATTATTATTATTATTATTATTATTATTATTATTATTACCCCTCCCATCTGGCTGGGTTTCCTCAGCCACTCTGGGTGGCTCCCAACAGAATACTAAAAACACAATAAAAGATCAAACATTAAAAACTTCCCTAAACAGGGCTGCCTTCAGATGTTAATCAGTTAATTGTTTATTTCCTTGACATCTGATGGGAGGGTGTTCCACAGGGCAGGCGACACTCCTGAGAAGGTCCTCTGCTGGTTCCCATGTATACCAACACAGAACATGGTTAATGAAAACCAGGAACCTTTATAACCATGGTTAACACTCTACATCAAACTGTGGTTTCAGTCACTGGTTTATGATAGATCCTGGTTTGCATTGATCATGGTGTTTGTCAGGGCACAAATAATGCAAAACCATGAGGAACAGTTGAGAGGAGGCAAACACTTTGAAGAAGGGAAGAATGAGTGGGAAGGAGTGCAGTGGTGGCGCACCAGGCACCAGGGGGTCATTTGTGCAGGCAGCAAGTGGGGTAGGGCTGGGAGTGGAGGGTGAACGACACCTGCCATGCCAGCCCAGCCCAGGGTTCACGGGGCCATGCTGCACCACCTGCCCACGCAGGGGAGAGCCCAGGTGGCCCACGCTACCTTTGGCGGGTGCTCACTCACTCCTGCCCCTGGCAGGCAGCCATTCACAAGGGGGCGGGGTTGGGGTGGCAAGGCTAGGCCAGGCTCCGAGGGCCACAGACCTCCAGCCGCAAGCAAGGCTGCAAATCCCTGCCTGGGGGTGCCTGGCTCATGTCCCTTCAAAACCATGCGCCCTGGGTTCCAGCCCCCTAGCCCTCCCCACACTACGTCCCTGGGAGCGGATCTTGACTTCCAGAGCATGATTAGTAGGAAGTAGGAATGAGTCAATCTGTCAATTCTGGTTTTTCCCAGTTTCTCATTTTTCCATTCCTAAATTCAGTTCACCACATATTTACACATCAGTTGGAAGATTTAAAACAAGCAAAGGTCCTCGTGAAAATTCAGCAAGATTTTATTGTGAACAATAAACAGTACAAACTCATAGTGATTTAAAAGGGTTCCCAACTGGGTCCCAAAGGTCTAAAGAGGAACCCATGCAGCTGGGAAAAGTGGGGGAAGGCCTTGCCTGCCCCCCCCAGCCCCATCCACCTTTTCAGCCCTTTCATGGTCAAGAGTCTGCCTGAACAGAGCTGAAGTATTCTGCTAACTAGGCTCTGCCTCACCACTTGCCTAAACTCTTGTCCGTGCTCCAAGATCTTTAGGTGAGGTAAAAGGAAG